TAAATGCTTCCACACTGCTGACGTGTGTGTTGCATAATAAAGAGTGCGCGCCTCTCACTCTGCACTGGTTGCTATTTGATAGCGTCATATCATTGTTCGGTACAATTTATTCGGTCTTTTCGCTTATTCGGTTCGGTTGCCGAACATTCGGTGCATCCCTAAATATAAATCGTCTCGCGCACTTTAATGCCCTTTGAATGTAACGTGTACGTTCCCTTGGAACTGGAATCATTTCATGTGAAGTCCACTTCGCAGCGCACTTACGGTCGAATAAACAACGCTTGAATGTTGCCTGAACAAGAGACCTCCTTACTGAAGTGAAAGTGTTGGCTGGTGTCACTATCTCGCGAACACGCCGGCGGATCTCCACCAAATTCGGGGGATCCCTTCAGCTCGAGGAGCCCTCCGCGCGTCGGTAGCCCCCCGGGATCGCTTGATCGCTCGGCGCCGGACCACGAATTTAACCACCTGCAACTCCCGAACCCCGGGGGCTATCGACGCGGCAGTGGTCTCATTCAAAAGCGGGCCTCTAGACACTCGATTCGCGTTCGAGAGGGTTCCTCGAGCTGAAGGGATCCCCCGAATTTGGTGCGGATTCGCCGCGCCGTTACAGAGATATGGCCGTTCAAAGTTTCAATAGTTTCAAAGCGTTTCATCCAGGTCGCCAGTAGCAAACAATGGAGCGCGCTCTGCTGGACAAACTAAGTAATTATTTTATCTGCGTTATATGTTCTGTAAAAAAAAATTTCATATCGGCGGCATATTCGCCGATACCGATATATCGGCGACAGGCTCATATCGGCCGATATTATCGGCAAAACTATATATCGGTCGGGCTCTACTTTATATATTTAATTTGAACTTTACTGTAGTACAGCGCTGACTTTGTAGCATATGTTTGACTGAACTGTTTGCTTTTTTCTTTATTTCCTCTTATATAAGCCTCGTACACTTTGTACTTATTAGGGCTGTCAAAATGGCTGAAAAACTAAATTTTGTACTTAAATAATATCAAAATTCTAATTCAAATTTAAAATGCATAATTTCAGTTAGGGTAAATAACAGCTTTTGGCTTTTCTCCTGAGGCCAAAAGAGGGCGTATTGAGCATAAGATAACATGACTTTCCGTGAAAAAAAGTGCATAATGTTTAAAATATTGTTTATAAACCAATTATAATTAATTAAGTTACTTATAAACAAAACGGCATCATGTATGTATTCATAGTTTAATACAAAGGGCCGAAAGCCAATCACATAGTACATTTTTCATTTAAAAACACGAGTTGCAGTGGGATGCGGGGGGGGGAACACCATTAGTCTCGAGATACGTTTTTTCAAAGTTGAACTTGCATTCATTTTACATGGCTTTCTAAACATGCGGCTCTTTTGTGCAAAAGGCGTAAGTGCAACGGTAATAGATCCTTTACCGGGACAGCACACGTACATCTAGCCGACGTCGGCCCAAGACTGAAACGTCGGCCTCATTACCTAAAACATCTAATAAGCGTCGGCCAGGCATAGGCCGATATAATTCGGTCAGTGCTCTGTTTCTCAGCTCATCAAGCGTCGGCTCTGAGTCGGCTCACGACCGGAGGCCGATGCCGCGCCTTTCTGTTTGCTGGAGCCCAGTTATTCATCTCTTAGCAACCTACAGAGAGAAGAGACTCATCCCGCGACATCTGGGGCTTTCAGGTAAGATTTCACTTGAGTTAAATTAGAAAAAAGTACCATTTTGTTAATTCTGTGACACTTCAAAGGTAACGTTACTAGTAGGCACTCGGTGTGCTACAGCACAGGTGAAGAGACTGGGGCTCATTTCCAACTAATGTTAACTTGTTTAGCTAACGGTCACAATAGCTTAGCAATTTTTAATATTATTGTTAGCGCAATTGTTAGGGAAAATGTTATTAAAGCGAAGTCCTAACTGCTTTTTCGCCGTGTTATTCACTGTTGTAGGCTAACGTTACCAGAAAGAATCCGTTTCTACGGTGAGCTATTGTTCCTGTTGAGACTGTAAATTATTAATGTAATTTTTTTACTCTAGAATCTAGATGTTTATTTGTGTAAATGCTGTATGTGCGTTGAGCTGGGAGCAGAGTTGCTATGTAAACGGGGCGTTAACACAACCACCAACAGTAAACGCTGTCTCTCGCTGCTGTTTTCACTGCTTTCAGGTAAACTTAGTCCCTAAAATCACACAAATATTACATACAAACGTTCCTGACATGTTTCTTACTTGTAATTGACATGTTTCTATTGAATATTTATTTTATAGAAATGGTTTAGCCTCATCGCAACCGTTTTCAGACGAGGTAAGGTTAGGCTAACTCTGTAGACTGAGCTCTTGTTTACGAAACTTTGGGCTTTTAATCAAATCTTCATGTGTATGAGATGTTTTGATAGATCGGTAAAGGTTTTGCTGGCGATTTGTCAATGGGTTATTGGAAATGGGATACTATACTTAACCTAAACATATACACTGCACTGTGAACCAATGACGTCACTTTCAAGGAGAGTGTAATCGGCTAAAAACAAGTTCAAACGCATTTTGATCTTTCATGGTAAACAAATATTGATAAAAACTGTTCTGTGATTTCAGGAGGACAGAAAGAAACTACAGAACAGATGGGAAGCTCCAAGATTTCAACATTTCTGAAGGCACTGCTGACGGAGAAGTAGAAAATACAGGTGAGCTGAAGAAGCTCATCAAATAACTTAATATGCATTTTTTTCACAATATATTTTACCTATATCCCCATGCACCTGTTATTTCCTTTGGCAAAATGTATATATCTATATATCAGGGCTCCAGACTGCGATTTTGCGACCATTTTTTCCTGCTGGTGTGACTAAAGTTTTTTAGAGGTCGCACTGGTGCGACTGAAAATGTTTAATATTTCATTATGAATGCGCAGGCGATTACTCCAATCACTCTCCGTTGTCGCTTCCCCTCCCCCGCCATTCTATCATCCTCTCAGGTACACATGCTCACTCAAGGTTATCAAAGCGCGCTAAAACACTTGTCTCACTAAGGCTCATCCAATCACTCTCCGTTTTCGCTTCTCCTCCCCCGCCATTCTATCATCCTCTCAGGTACACATGTTCACTCAAGGTTATCAAAGCGCGCTAAAACGCTTGTCTCACTGACTGTCATTTATTAGAGCTCATGATGAAGCGTCTGAGTCTATTACCTCATATTGAGCAAAAACGCCTCAACGTCTAAAGACAGTATCTCAGCCGAAGGAGAGACGGCAGATCCAGACAAAGAACAGGAAAAGGAGCAAGTGAGTGAAGGGCAAACTTCAGCAGCTAAAAAGAAATGTGTTAAATTCCGTACACAATGGCAGCGAGAATTTGAGTGGCTAAGGTACAAAAAAGAGAGTAATGAAATGTATTGTGTATATTGTACACAGTGTGGAGCTAGCGCAGGAAACACAAAATTTGCAAAAGGGTGTTCAAACTTCAAACATGAATCTATAAAGCTCCACACTGAGAGCATAAAACATAGACTTTGCAGAGATGCCTGTATGGCACGAAGCACAGGCCCTCTCGCCGCCGGCTTTAAGCCTTTGTAGAATTGTACAGTAAGAAAGTTATTTCCCTTAACCAGGAAATTAACGTTCTTAGAATTGACAGACAGTTGACCCTGAGAGGTCAGCTAAATATCTACAGCGGATCTAAATATTTATAATTAATTATAACTAGTTATGATTAATTATTCATATTTCCCCATGAGCTGATTCGCAACAACGGAATTTCCATCAATCCAACGTACGCAAATGACACCGCATGCGCTCAATTCATCGGTGTCATTGCAGACACAATGAAAAGCAAGACAGCGCATGAACTTGCCTCAGCCCCATTTATATCGTTCATGATTGATGGAGACCCAGATGTGTCTATGAAGGAGTGCCAGATTATTTATGCACGGCTAATCAGAATGGGAAAACCAGTTAACATCCTGATCGGGCACGTTGAGGTTCAGCATGCCAATGCTCAAGGTAAGTGCTCAAGAAATCTAAACTAATTGTAAAGATAATGGAATTTACAGTTCAATATCAGAGATTAAATCGGGGCTGTCCGCTCTGTTGCGTTATATTAAATATTTTTTTAATATATATTAAAAAAAAATATTGTAAAAATCACTTTTTTATTTTATACAATAAATTGATAGTTTTAACCTTTAATAATAATACCAGCTAACAGGGTTCCCTGCATAGTTTACAGCATTAAGAGAGATTTATTTCCTTTAAAAAAATTACTGTACCTGATATTTATCCAAATTAATCTTTATTGAATTGAGATTGTAATCATAACTCAAGCTTATGAACCAAATCATGAAAAGATTTTCCCTAATAAAAACACAATGAAATTATTCAATTACCAAAAGTTGGCAGCCCTGTTAAATATTGAAAATAATTTATTTACTTGATTATGTTGTTTATATCAACATTAAAATGTACAAGTATTTGAATAATGTGATATTATAAACTCATTTGTTGTTTTTTATTTAAGGCATTTATGCAGCAGCAAAAGAGGCATTCTCTGCTCTAGGACCACAGTGCAAAAATTGACTGAACAAAACTGTAGCCATGGGGGCAGATGGGGCAGCTGTAAATCTTGGACACAAGCGGGGGGTAATATCCCTTGTCCAGGCAGAGGCAGGGAACTACATTGTTCCTTTCCATTGTATGCCTCACAGGTACGTAAACATGAAGCTAACTATCAGTCCTATCATACCATTTAAATCCATGAGGGAGCTGAGGGTCCTTGGGGAAGACCTAGGCATAAGAGTGAATTCCCCATTCCCCAAGAAAGGAACGCGCTGGCTACCACATGTTTCTAGATCTTTGGAGACACTGTTAAAACTGGAGAGAGAGGAGGTTATCTTCAGGACCCAGGACAGTTTACTGCAGTCTATGTGCACATGGACCACTTGGCCAGTGCATCAGCAAACACAGACATTGCTGGAAGGGCCAAAAAGGTAACTACAGTATTTGTTGAAATGTAATTATTTTTATTTATTGTTGTTTATCATTATTGAGTGCAATTTAACTTTTGGTTAAGCAAGTTTTCTCTTTGGTGCTGTATTTCAGATCAAGAAGACTATGGAGGATGGAACTTTTGTAGCCTTCATTCAAGTCATTCTACCCCAGGTAATACTATGTGTGATACAAATTATAACTGAAAGGGGTCATATGATGCTTTTTTAAAGATCATTATTTTGTGTATTTGGTGTAACAGAATATGTTGACATGCTTTAATGTTCAAAAAACACATTATTTTTCAAA